AGCGCTTCCACGAGGGCCTCCTCCTCCTCCGTGGGGGGGAAAGCGGGTGGAAAAGAACCTCCTCTCCCCCGGCGCGGACGAAGGGGGGACGGAAAAGGGGGAAAAGGCGGGGGCGCCAAAGCGCGGCGAGCAGCGGAAACCACCGTCGTGGCGGCGCCTCGCGCGCGAAACGCGTCGCGAAGCAGCGGCGGGGGGCGCGCGCAAACGAAAACGAAACCCCAAGCGAAAACAACCCCCCCTAAGCCAAGGAAGAGCGCGGCGGAGAAGAAACCCCACGAGGCGAGCCGAAGGAAGGCGAAGAATGGCAAAAAGTGAGCGAGGTGCGGAAGAAGACATCGCTTTCCTTTGGGTTTGAGTCGTGAGAATAACGCGAAGGGATGAGACTATTTGGAAATAAAAAGAACAAAAGAACATACGGATGATCAAAAAAGAGAGAGGTCCCGATGACGGAATGCGTAGATTGCATCTATTGGCGGCTTTCTTTTCGGGATTCTTTCCTTTCGTATGGTTTATTCGGCGACCTCCATGTAAGTCGCCAGAGCACGACGCATCCAGGAGTGAGGGGTCGAATTAATTTTGGTTTATATTCTTCACTAGATTTTTCGTTGTGTTTTTTTACTCACCTCTTTTTTAGATCATTCATTGGAGGGCGTATGGGTGGGTGTGAGAGAACCACAGGGTGTGGATTCCCGCCTCGTAACATGTTATTCCGCAACATTTCATGACGATCCCCGCATGAGAGGAAGAGACCAAGGATTATCAATTGTGGTTCGTGATTGAATGACGCTTTGGGAGTGAGGTCCTGCACCGCCCGTCTTCTCTAGGACTGCTCCATTTCATGAATTCACGCATTTCCCTCACGAGTCCTAATGGCCGAGCCCGTGTTCCCCAGCGGATTGCTCCGGCCTCTATCGTATCGCCGGCCGCCTTTTGTATTTTTACACGTTTTATAGAGTATGGTGCGGTGGGTTTGTGTATCTGTTAGATTTTCGTCTATTTTTCCACTTGTACGACTATTTCAATCCCCTTTTAACCCTAAAAACAAAACAAAACACACACACCCACCCCTCTTGTGCCGCCCGATGCGGGCTTTCGGTTCGGTATGGGTCGCCGTTCCTGAACGTGTGGATCTTCTTTTTGGTTGTGCTTTTCCTCCCCGATGTGGGCTTTGCGGGGCCCCCTTCACCCCTTCCTTAGGTTTCCAATGAGCACCCTCAGAACGGACCCCCACACGGGGTCTTTCGTCACGCGCGCGTCTCGGACCCGACGCGACCGCGGTGAC